GTTAAAGAACATGTCATGGCCTAATTTAATATCATGTTAAAAACGTAATAAAATAAGTGAAACTATTAAATAGAATTTAATTAAAATAAAATAATTAAATCTCTAGATTTTAAAATAACTCTAAATGTTTCCAATTTAATATATGCTAAAGAACATATCATGGTCAGTACATATATCAAGTCAAAACTTAATTTAAATCAAAGGAACATATAGATAAAAATTAATTAACTTAATTAATTAATTTTCCTAGGTTTCAAAACAACTCTAAATGTCTTCTAATTAATACAAATTATAGCTCAAGTTATAGCCTTTAATAATATTATGCTCTAACTTAATTTCATGCAAGGTACTACTACCAACAATTTTTATAATTATATTAAAGACATGCATTCAAATTATTCTAAGTTACAAAAATATTTTAAAACACCAAAATTGAAATCCTATAATATCCCCTACCTCACAAGAGGATTGTTCCTCTTGAATCCAAGGGAAGCAATGGAATTTCAAGAATTCCTTCAATGGTTTTGTTAAGGAAGGTGAGGAAAAACTTTTGTATTCCAAGCTTTTAGGTCAAAGGTGAGTGGAAGGAGATCAAAACCAATACTTTAAGCATAAGTTAAGGTTTCCTTCAATGGAGGCTAAGAGTTTTTTTGAGGAAGAAGCCTTAGTTAGTGGAAAAAGATGTATTTCTCCACTAACTAAGCTTGTTGGCCCAACACACACACACAAACACTATCTCTCTCACACGCACTATTTATAAGACAAATTTTAGAGCCTACACTTGTCACTAATCTAAGCATCCATCCTAAGCTTAATCTTAAGCCTACACTTGTCAACCATCCAAGCCAATAAGTGCACCTATCTTAGGTCAACAAGTGGGTGAATCCTCACGCTTCACATGTAATCATCTAAGGCTCCCAAGTGTGAACCAATGAGATGCCAACAAGTGGACCAATGAAAGTGTGACACTTGGCTCACTTTTCTATAAAATTGCAAAAAGGTCCTTTACCAAAATATCTTCCAAATTAAATTGCAAAATAGTCCATAAGATAAAAATAATTACTTTATTTAATTACACTATAACTCCAAAAATCAAGAATGTTTCTGAAGAAACTATGCATTCATGCCCTTTACGAAAAAGTAAGCAACTAGCATGCTTTTCTACAAAAGTAAAAATACACAAATTATGGAAATTAAATATCATGCATACATGCAAAGTCAGAACCAAATCCGAGCACAAAAAGTGAGGTTATGCAAAGGAAAATGAAACCAGGAAAAAGACGAAAAAGAAAAATGTCAAAAAAATGAAAGTGTGAAAATGATGTGTTCCTCTCAAGGACATTGTCAATCCAAAAGAAAGAGTCTTGGAAACTATTCTCGAGTACTCGAAACAACACAAAGTGACATAAACCCGAACTCGTAAAGGAAAAAATCAGCGGAAAAAAAAAAATATATCCGTAAAATTTGAGAAAATGGAAAAGAAGAAAAATGACCTGGTCATTACAAATATAGTTTATTATACTTGTTGTATTTGACTAATTGATCAACTGCTGGGACGTTATGATGTGAAAATAGGTTTTAATGAGCTTATTGTGCAATTAAGGCACTGATTTTAGATGTTTGTGGGTACTATCACTGGAAACCTTCACGAGACTACAACTCGTCCACTAGGGGTAACCTAAGGGTTTAAAGGCTTATTGTATAAGCTAAATGCAACTGTGATTCCCACGAAAGCAGATTTTTAGTTCTGTATTGCTAAAGGACTAGTAATATGTAAGTTTCGGGGTGTGATGAGCGCTGAATATTGCATATTCGAGCCCCTAAATATACGTATGTTATGACTTAAAGTGATACTTCTATCTGGTGTTAGACTGATTTATGTTTATTTTGTATTTGTAGGTACTTTCCCAAATAAAATGTTAAAACCAGAACTATAAGATAAAAAGACTGATATCGAAGCTTACAGAGTCATTGTTGATTATCCGAAGCAAGCCGAGAGTCAAAATGGTGAATTTTGGAAAACTCAAGTGCTAAGGCTCGAGCCTAAGTTCCATGGCTCAAGCACAACAGAAAGAAGCAAGAAAATCCACTAAGGCAGAAAAGCTTGAGCCTAGATCTTAGGGCTCGAGCCTAACCTCAAGGTGCTCGAGCCTTTGCCTAAGAACTTGAGCACATGCAATAAGGTATAATACCATATACTATAGTATTCCTATTTAAATATTATGAAAAAATATAATATATATATATATATATAATTATTATTATAAACAATATAATATATATATATATAATTATATAATACTCTAATAAAATTAAAGTATAAAAAGAACATGTTAATAGGTCGATTCTAGAATTGGATTCTATCTCCTTAAGACAGATTCGCTCCGCTATGGTGCTGACGAACTCTTTAACGTATGTCTCCCAGGATACAATAACCTTTCTTTCTTTGGTAGCAGTACTGCAAACCGGAGAAATGGACGAACCGACTCGGTGAAGTATTCAAATGGGGTGCACTGGTTCATACAAAGTGCAACCCTTAGATGCACTACTAGTTCACACCAGGTGCAACCATTCGTAAGCCCAGTCTAATAACCCACCAGAGTAAGCCAAGCCCAAAATAAAATTATACCAAACACAAGGCCCAATTCAAAATTTTCGTTTAATAAAAAAGTAATCGGATTTTAAATTAATCCAAATCCCAAGCTCGGACCGGGTCGAACGGGCGAGGTGCGCGTGTGTGATAAATGGCTTAGATCCAAGCTTGCCTAGGTTTTCCTCCTCTTAAAAACTTGGGTGCCCTTGGGCCTTAACCCAAATTCTAAACTTGGGCTATAGAAACTCTAATTGGTTTCACTTTATTTTTAATGTGGGACAACCACATCTCACATTTTGCATACCCATTTAAGTTTATCAAACGCCTTACTTTGAAGCTGTAGACACTAAAATTTTATGGACTTTTGTTTTGACAAATTGACCCATCAAATATGGGTCTCATGTTTAATTAAATTATTTAATTGGCCCAAACCTGATCAACTTAAATTATTTAATTAGTCCAGTCCAGGTGATTAAATAAAAATATAATTATTCTTATTAACATATATTTGGAATAATTACTTTTATGTATAATTATCATAATATAATTGGTCCGGCTTAGTTATAAGTATGTCCTTATCAAGAAAGGACACATGTCATCATCCTATTAATCCAAAAAACCTATAAATAGAGGCGTGGAGGAAAGAGGAATGGGATCCAGAAATCCAAAGAGTTTAGAAATTTAGAGATTTAGAAAATCCAAAGGGCGCATAGACTCAGAAGTCCAGAATTCTAAAGTAAAATACAGAAGCTCTGTTGACATTCATCCTCAACACCCAAGTCTTAAAAACGAAGAACAACAAGCACATCCAAAGTCATGTCGTTCTTCCTCAAACTCAACAAATCTTCTGAAGGCGAAGAATAACAAGTATATCCAAAGTCATGCCGTTCTTCACAAATTCTCTAAGCACATCCAAAGTCGTGTCATTCTCCTCAAATTCAATAAAGAACAAAAAGCACATTAAAATCGTGTCATTCTTTTCCTGTTATTCAATAAGTTCAAAAAAACATCAAATAACACTGTTTGAGATCAAGTTTCTTCAACCCTCGATCAAAAATCATCGGTGGTCTTCGTCAACTACAGAGACTTTAAGAAGATTGTCAACAACCCGATTCAAGATCAAGCTCCAACAACTCTTGGATCCAACCAACAAACGAGATTGAATCAGATGATATTTTCTTTCTTTTGTAAAGAATATCTCAGAGGATTGTACTCATCAATTTTTATAAATCAATAAATTTATTATTTTCTTCCTATTTCGTTCTTTAATTTGTAGATACGAAATTTATGTGTATAGGAGTTAATTTCTCATTCACCTGGAAACAAATTTAAAAAGTAAATATATCACCTTTATCTCCTTACGAAGAAGAACACGTTTGACTATAAATCTGCAAAATATTCTTAACAAGACTTACTCAAAATTTTGCTTCGTTCCAACAGATATTACTTTCTTTATTCATACAGACGTACACTATATTGTTTTTAAGAGTATATAAAATGTGTTAATCAACCCAAAGACCGAAATGGCCGGCGAAGATTTGAGTGTGATTTGTATTCTTGATGTCTCTTTTTTCTTTTGCTAGTGTCTTGATTAAATAAATAATAATAATAATAATAAATAGGCCGCTATATAGTTTACGCACTAGGCCTAAAAATAATAAATAGGCCGCTATATAGTTTAGGCACTAGGCCTTTGCCTAAAGCCCCGTGCATGTATAAAGTAAGGCCCCTTTAAATAAAAATAAAAAATAAAAAAAAGAAAAAAAAAAAAAAAAAAGTGGACCGTTTTAAATTTCTTTTTTTATTACAAATATATTTTTTAATCAACATAAAAAAAAGTTGATCGCTCGTTTTTTAAGGTCAATATTTTAATGTTTTATCTTTATACATGTCAACGAAAAAAAAAAAATGATTTTGAATAAAATTTTACAGGACTAATAATCGACAGGGTGCCTTCAAAGCTTTTTCCTTACGTCGCAACAGTTTGCAAAGCAATTGGATAGAGAGACGCATTGTTGAACCATAATTTTATTGGGAATAAACTATTTGTTGTTTCGACATTTTATTATTTTGATAGAATATACTTACAAATTAATGTCAATTTCTTCCACTCAAAACACCTTTTTTTTTTTTTTTTTTTTGGTTGTAGTACTTTTTTTTATTGCGTGTGTGAAAAATCATTTGTTCTTACCAACAAACACTAACTAATAGATTATTAACTTAATGATATAACCTCACTATACTCAAAGAGAAGTGGAAACCTATTGATATAACTTCTCTACACTCGAAGAGAAGTGGGAACCAATGATATTATCTCTCTATACTCGGAGAGAAGTGAGAGTTCGAGACCTTGTAAAATGTAGTTAAATTTTCAAACAAGTATCTCATTTCAAAATTTAACTCGGTAACACAAAATAAGGTATTCAATCCGTCCAAGAGTTCTCACATTATTTATTATTAAAAGCTTACAAACAATATCAAATGAAACATATATATGAAAGACTTTGAATTCAACCTAAAAGGTGAATACCTTGTGCAATTGGAAAGATTCCATTATGTCCAAGGATTCTCACATTATTTCTTATCAAAAGCTTACAAACATTGACAAATGAAACAAATATACGAAGGTCACATCAAACAACCTCTATACACCATTTCTCTTGATGAATTATAGAACGCAAATTTCTGGTGAAACTGGAAAGATCTTTGTTTCAGCAACTTAGCTTTTGCTAGATCCGCAAATTCAGTTGTTGCTCTCTCCTTTCCGCCATTAGTGACTATCATCATGTTGAAGTCCATTGCTATTGCATTAACTGCTTCAGGTTTTGCTAGATCCGCAAATTCAGTTGTTGTTCTCTCCTTTCCGCCATTAGTGACTACCATCATGTAGAAGTCCACTGCTATTGTATTAACTGCTTCAGCATCATTTTGAAGTAGTTGAGGGATCGCAAACTCAACAACTATAACCTTACCATTACCATCATCAGGCACTGCCTTCCAGCAGTTTCTCAACAGCATGATGCAGCGATCATCGTCCCAATTATGCAATATTGTCTACATGCATAAAGAATATATATGTATGAGTAGTGTTATTGTGAAGAGCCCCCAATGTTAATTTGAGAAATGATGTTCGTGGCAATTAAGCTTCAAAAATCGTAATATCACACACATTTTGATGTCTATGCGTGTTTTATTATTATTATTATTATTTTCTCTCTTTATAGACTATTATACTGGTTATCGGTAAAGTAATTAATTTAAACTGATCACAAACCTTCAATAAAATGGCTTGTGCATTTGGCAGTGACTTGAACATATCTCCAGCAATATGCTCCACACATACAAAGCGATTAGTTAATATATGAGAAAGTACACTTTTGTGAATTCTAAACCAAAAGCAGTTATTATAAGAACAATGATACATGTATACACACAAAAACAAGAGAGTTGAACATGGGTTGCAGAGGAACTAACCAGGGAAGTCAAGAGCATTAGCAATGACATGAGGCAAATCAAAGTTTCTGCCATGAATGTGTGGACAAGCAGAGATTATCTTCCAAAGTGAAGTTCCATTGCCACCACCTACATCCACCAACTATGACTTCTTCAAATCCGGGTACACCTTGAACACCATATCAAAGAACAGCTATTGCTTAATCTTGGTTCCTTAGCAACATACTCATAAAAGCTCACACCATAATTTTTGTGGAACGGCATACACTCCGGTTCAAGCACCAATATCTTTGAGCTTGTAAAGACTTTCCACAAGCTCATTTGTCTTCAGCTGAAATTGTCTCCAAAATATCCTTTCCAAGGCATTGGCTGCGTTAGGATTGGCAGTGGTTATTTGGAGACAATTTCAGCTGAAGACAAATGAGCTTCAGGGCCTGAATCGCTAATGATATTGAAAACATTGAGCTCAATTGCAGCCCTTATGGCCATTTGGGTACCTATCAAATTTCCCATGCCCCAAGGGACAAGGTCTAAATCTTGTTCGCCTTTTATGGGTTTTGCTGCCTTTTGTTCCTTGTAATGGGGCAACATGCAAAATTATGCTTTTGAAGAGAGACGGAGAAAAATCAGTTTTAGCATAACAAAAAAGACACGGCATTGCCTGCAAAAGAAAGAAAATTTGGTTAATTTATTTTAACATATACTGTATCTAATAATGGCAAGAGAATACTTCCAATAATTTAGAACTTCTCCAAAAGATATATATATATATATATATATATATTTTCCTCTCCAAAGGATAACATTGATTTGATCATTAGTGTCACTTTAACGACAGAAGACATACCAAAAGATCTTCTCCCGGCGGCTAAATAATGATAATAATAATAATTTTTAACAACTGTAGGCGGCTAAATAATAATAATAATAATTGTTAGAAAAAAACGTGTGTGTACTTCGAGAAAGTGTCTTAAGATTTTAGAAGAGGCTAAACCATTTGCATTAAAAGAAGAGCAATGACACATTTTTCAAATTCGGAGGAAGAGAAATGTAAGAGAGGGTGTGTTGACACCCTTTTTGGTAAATGGCACTGAGGTGACACCATGATGTGGCAGATATATACCTTGTTTTAGGTTAATAAGTGATAATTAAGGATTTATTATGTGGAGAGATAAGAGTTTTGGATCAAGTAGAATTGTTATTCTCCTTATCTTCTGGGAGATAAAGGAGGAGATATATCATCGTATTTTTTCAACAACGGTAAATTTGCAGGGAAGTGATATCAAGAATGATTTTATTAGAATGTGTAATCTCTTCAAAAGAGTTGGCACCTTGGCTATGGTATGCTTATCTAATCAAGTTTGTTTAGAAGTTAATTTATATCTTTTTATGTAGTTATTCATTTTAGGACTCTTTATGATTTCTATAAATAATTGTAAAAGTATTTATTATAAGAGGTTCAACACCCTCAAAATCTTTTAATTATTGTTATTGCTTTCTCGAGCTCCAACTCTCATAAAATGTTTTGAGTTGACAACATGTCTTGCTTATGTGGCAACTTGTTTAGAAGCATACTTTGACTGTCTTAGTATATGATATATGCTTGTTTACCTTAGCACATGGTACCTGTTTGTCATCTTAACATGTGGTATATGCTTGTCTACCTGAATATATTATATACGCTTGTTCATCTTAACATGATTATATGCAGCATATCATCATGCTTTACATCCTTCTCCTGTATACTTTGACATGTTTTATGTGATCTTACTAGTTGTGTGAGTAGATAGTCTATTGCTATGTTATATGCTAGCTGTCCCCTTTTATATCTGGTTTTGGCATTGTCTCTTAGGATCTGTCGTATCCCTTAGATGCATTCTTGTTTCACGGGTTTCTTCCTTAGATAGGAGAAATTCATTCTGTAAGGACCTATGTCGGGAACCTTCTTGTCTGTTCTGTCGATTGATGCGAGTAAGGCTCATGTGAGCGTAGAGGACTGCGATTCACTTTTTTTTTTCCTTGTCTGGTGGATTGAGACGTGGGCCAGGGAGGCACTGTTTCATTTCCTTTTCCTTCGTGCCTTCTAGATCTAAGGCCTTAAGCGTAATGGTGCCAGTGTCATTGTTGTCAGAGTTTTGGGATTAGCTACCCAAACTCTCGCAGATGCCTGGTTTCCGTAGTGCCTTTGATAATGACCATTTTCGACATTGATGTCATTTGTATCGAAAAGTTCCCTTCTGGAGCATGTTACGAACTAGTGCCTTCTACTGTCATGCTACCTTACTAACGAGTAAATGTGGGCGAGTTCTAGTCACTATTCCTACTACCTTGTCACTCTCTTCTTCTATCATGTTTCAACGTTTTGTTGTCTTGGGATTCTCTCGGTAGTTGACGTTGAGTTAACGTGCCGATTCGTATGAGGTGTTGTCTCAGTTCATGGTTTCGCGTTCCTTCAGTTGATCTTTAGACTTCAGGATTTGTCCTTCAGTGCGTTGTGAGCTGTCATTTGATTTGACCTTATATTCGGTCATTATTCTGCTCTCTTTGGTATGTTCCTAATTTCGGGGACAAAATTCCTTTAAGGAGGGTAGGTTGTAACGACCCGGTCATTTGCCTTCCTTCCATTTTTTCTGAAATTTTACGAATGAATTTTTTTCGTTTAATTTTCTTTTCTGAGCTCCATTTCGTGTCGCTTAGTGTCATCTCGAGTGCTCAGAATTGGTTTATGAGACTCTTTCATGTGAATTGACAACTTCCTTTGAGGACCGAGTCATTTTCGCATTTTTCGTTTTTCAGACACTATGCGCTATTTCGTCTTTTCCCTATTTTGTCATTTTCCCTATTTCATCTTATCTCCGTTTGTCAGTTTTTGGCATAACCTCACTTCTCATGCTCGGAGTTGGTTTTTGACTTCATGTGCCTTCATCTTGAGTGATTTCCTCGAAATACGTATCTTTACTTTTGCAAGAAAGTACGCTGGTTGCTCCCAGTGTCCACAGGGGCATAGATGCACAATTCTTCTGAATCTTTTTAATTTCTTAGGGTGTTTTTCGCAAATATATTTTGAAGATATTTTATTTCAGGGGCATCTAAGAAAATATCTTTTGGAAGATATTTTCATTCTAGGGCAATTTCGCAGTTAACCCTTTTTGTAGGGGCCATTGTGCAATTAACGAAAGTTATTGCAAAAATGTCTCGTCTGGAGCCTGGATCCTCGAACGGGATTCATTTTCACTTTTTGTTGACTCGTAAATTCATAAAATTTCCTTCTGGTCATTTTTCTCCAGTTTCAGAATTTCTGGACCTAGTTGCTGCCAAACTTGTTCGGGGTATAACTTTCTGCTCGGGACTCAGTTTTCAATGCCATTTCTTCCTTTATTCATATTTTCTTATTTTCAATCTTTTTTGTTTACAAAGTTTTTCCGTTCGACCGTGTTTTCTCAAAATCCACTTTTCCGGACCCGGCGGAGCCCTTTCGGGGCACTTTTTGGGACTTACTATAAATATGGGACTTAAGAACAAAAAAATGAGATTTCTTCTTCATCTTCCTCTCCCATGTTCGGCCAAGCTCCCTCCCATGGCTGCCACTTTCTCTTTCCTCCTTTGATCCACTTTTCTTTGATGAAAAGTCTTCGGCCTTAACATTTGTTGTTCGCCTCGTCGTGCTCTACCATTACCCCTTATTAGAAACCATTTCTGACCAAATTTCAAGTTCGGGATTAAGGTCAAGTTTGGATTTTCATAGGGCTTCTTGGGGATTCATATAGATCGTATTGTCCCCGACAAAACCTAGGAGTTTCGTCGGATTCAGAGCCGTTTCAATTCGGTGGGGATTTGGGATTTTCATCTCAAATTGAGGTAAGAGGTGTTATAGGTTTAATTCTTGTTATATAACATGTTATTGATGCTTATACAACTTAATTGCATACTTAAATATGAATTTTCTTGTATTGGATTTGATTTTCCCGGTTGCTTATGACTTGTTTTAAACATGTAGCATGGTAATATAATGCTCTATAATATGGTTATTGACAAATATTAAATTGAGAAAATTTAAACAAGTATTAAAGATTTTATTTAATATTTATCTTGAATAAAATATTAAATCATGTGGCCTTAACTAGCTCAAAATCAATATGTATTACCATATTAAATTAGGCCTTAGCATGCTCTCCAACATAGTTGAATTTGAAAGTAATTGGAGGTATTTTGAAAATTAGTAATTATTAATTAATTTAATTAATTAATTTGCCCCGAGTGCACTATTCACTCTATTTGAATTCCGACTTGATATTCTTGATTTACATGCCATATAACTTCACATATATTTGATTTAGAATATTCGGTTAGGTTTTGAAACCTTTTATTTAATTAAATTCCATGTTTAAGATTTAATCCTCATTGTGATATACAATTTGGAATTGTATTATAGCATGCTAGAAAATTAAGCTTAGGTATAGTTGTTCACATATATTAAATTGGGATTAATTGCATGAGAATTGTAACTTTTAATTTATATTTAACTTTAGTGAGAGTTTAATTCACATGGTCTTAAATTGAGTGAAATAAACTTGTAATGTGATATTACATTAGTTCTTGACATGTTTTCTAACATAAGTTAATTTGAGAGCATTTGGTTAAGTTTGAAAATCAAGAGATTTTAATTAAAAGAATTAATTAAAATCTATTTTGTGGTCCTATTAGCTTAATTAAGGTTTTAACTTGATATTTGTATTGGCCATGACTTGTTTACTAGTATATATTAATTTGGGACTATTTGAAGTTGTTTTAGAACCTTGGGATTTAAATTAGTATGATTTAATTAAAGTTCTACCTTGTTGTTGTATTTAAACTCATGAGCTTATGTTTTCAATATTAAATATATTGTTATCTTGCGTAATGATTTGCACACTTCATATTTAACATCATTCATGCATAGCGTGTAACGAATCGCACACTGAAGATTCAACATTCATCATATCATATTAGTTGTGGATTTAGAGCATGTATTGTATAGGTTTCCAAATTTGGTTGTGCTTGGTAGATAGTTGATTATCTTATATATTCCTGTTGATATATGCGTTCTTGCACAACTTGTTGATTTTGGAAACTTGGGGGTGTTGTTGTTTGACTATGGTTAGGACGTGGTTCTAGTACGGGGGATAGTCCCTCTATGTAGTTTAGTGCGCACATATGGAGGTTACCCATGGACTAGTAACCCTAAAGTAACTATGTTGTCGGTCTGATCCGGCGTGACGTCCGAGTATCCACTTTGTTTGATTTCGCATTTCATTTTCAAGTTAATAACGAGATGATGTTGTCACTTGTTGTTCCTTATTTGTCGTTCCATTTTAATTTACATGATGTTAACTTTGCGAAATTGTGCTTTATGCGTTGTATTGGAAGTTCCAATGTTGGTTAAATTGCATCGATGTTGAAAATCGTGTTTTGACGTTCTAATAAAGCTTAGGATTGATCCTATTGATTCATTTATAACATAGACGTTAGGTGGCATGACCCACTTATGTTATTTTCGTGCTTTAGATTCCAAGATGATAGCTTTAAGAAATTGTATTTTGTTGCCTTGTATAATATGCTTTTATGTGGTTAGACTGCATTGAAGTTGTAATTTGCGTTTTGATTGTTCAGCATGGCCTAGGATGATTCCTTAGACTTATTTAGAACATACATGTTAGGTGACATGATCACTTTAGTTGTTTCTGTATTCGAGATTGCAAGTTAATACCTTTAAGAACCTATATCTTGTTGCTTTGTATAACGTGCTTCCATTTGTTTAAATGGCATAAATGATGTGATTTATGCTAGAAACACTCTAAGGTAGCTTAGGATGCTCCCTAAGTCTCATTTCGATATAGACGTTAGGTGGCATGAACCCCTTTAACATGTTTCACCTTAAGGTGATAAATTTGTAAAATGCTAGGTCGATGCATGCTCATCTCCTACAAGTAGCTTTATGTTACTCACCCCTACGATACTGGGGCATATTTCAGATACGAAGACTTGGTTCATGACGCCTAGCATTCCTTGGATGTCGTGTAGCTTTCAAGTTTCCATTTCATGCGAATGTTAGCATGAAATATCATTTTGTAGACTTATATGTCAAAATATGTATAATTGATTCCATGTATGTTATGTGTACTTAAGTACACTCCTTTCAATGTATTTGATATGTATGAGATGAGGCCAGAGGCCAATGACCATTATAGTGTATTCTATGTACTTTTTAACTTCATGAAATATTGTGAAAATCTTGAAAAATCGCAAGTTATTGCTTCACCATGGTTGTATCGGGTGTGGGAATTCCATTTTCATTCTTTCATAGTGTCTCATTAATCTTGTATAAAGTGTGGCCAAGGGCTGAACGGTCAATTGACTCCATTTTGTATTTTTGGATTCCATATTTTCCATTCCAAGTCCATTTTTGCCTTTTTGCCCGTTGGGGGGTTGAATTTTGCATCGGCTATGTTTTTAAGCCATGGACCATTGTAGCGCGTCTAAATAGGTAAGTTACATTCACGTGCATTGTCATTTTCGGGCAAAACCTCATCGTTTGTGTTTTGAGCCTCCAACGGACTCATTTTGCATTTTTTGTTGAATATTTTGATCTAGGGGTATTTTAGACTTTTAAATTTAGTTTTATTTCCCTCTTTTAATATGGTTGAATAGAAAACATGATTTTAGAAGAGGTTTCTTCTTCGTGTTTTTCCGGAAAATGTCGTCTTGGCATCGGAAATCGATCCTGGAGTTCAGCTCTCAGTTTTTAAATTTAGCTGCTTTTTGGACCCTCTGGACCAGTTTTTTTGGGAGAGCATTTTGGGCATTTCACAGTTCGTATTTTTCGATTTTCCTCAAAAATTTTGTAGACAACTCGATTTTGAGGGGGGTTTCTTCTTTGTGTTTTTCCAGAAAATGTCATCTAGGCCCTCAAATTTCCATTTTTTCCGGAAAAACCCCTGCTGCCGGGTTTTTGGGTCGCACCCTTACTGCCCCTTCACATCTAAATGTTTAGATGGGGCTTCGTAACCGGTTACATGTGCATGGGCAGTGCTTTGGTCGAGATTTTTGGCTTCCTAACCGGTTAGGAAGGTCTCCTAACCGGTTAGATGTTCTTGGTTGTCCCATTTTTGACCGTTTTGCCCCTTCTTCTTCCGTAAGCCATATCTTCTTCATCCAGACTCCGAATCAAGCGATTTTTGAGTCTAAGTTTATTGATTTTTCATTGTCTTTCCAATGGTGTGCTTGGTGGCACCCACTTTTAAGCTAGAAAGAACAATTTTTCCCCTAGGTTCAATCTTGTTCGTTTTTGAAACGTTGCTTCCCCATTTGATTCCTTTGGGTTCCGTGACCTCGTTGAGGGTCATAATGGTGTCTTAGAGACATGTTATATCTCTAGACACCATTGTTTTGTCTTTTGTTTCCGCACTTCGGATCCGTTATCGGGTCATCTTTAGGTTCATCACTGACGCACCGGGTTGAAAAACTTGGGCCGTCACAATTCCAAACAACAAAGGAAAAAAAAAAAACATCCTCTATATAAAACCAGGTGAGAGAATATTAAATTTATGGGACATCAAAATGCCTCCCTAGTAGACCATACAGTTCCATACCTCCATAATCTTTTTTTCTTCACATCCAAGTAAGAATCAGGAAGCACGTAACGGACTCTCGGCAGATCTGCACAATATTTGAACAACCACGCTTAGAAATCCCAATTTCAATAAACAATAGCAGAAACCAAGCATCAAGGACATAAAGTACCTTTGATCTTGTATGAAAGTTCTTCAGATACAAGGGCTCCAAATGCATAATAGTGTCTAGTTAAGACACAGTAGATTTTCATTCTTGTTTCTTCCTCACTGAAAAGCACAATAGGCACAAACAATAATAAATATCAAAAAAATTAAAACAAAACCCATACATGCAAGTTAGCAGTTGCAGAGTTGCAGAGAGAGAGAGAGGGGGGCAAGCTTGAGAGTTGAGAGACAACAGTTGAAGCTTGCGAACGGCGAACCCGAACTGTAACAGCAGGCGATGGAAACTGAAATATATGGGTTTTGATTTTTTGAACAATCTGGCATATCAGATATGGGTTTTGATTAGGTAATAGGTTTTGAACTTTTGATTCTTGCAGACATATAGATCAACTGAAATATATGGGTTTTGAAAAAATTGAAGCAACAAACACAATCTAGCAAGACTGTTGAAATCACTTAACAGCATTCTAAGGAACCAGTGTAACTACAAAGTCGCAGAAAGCAAAGAATGGATGAATGTAAAGCTCAACTACCATGCTTAAAGTGCCTAAAAAGTAATACTTTGAGGATAACCAAGAGTAGTGAATTTCAGATTCCAAAAGCAGTAATTCACAAAGTTAAAAAAACACATAAAACAATTGATAAACCAGTTCTTACAGACAGATAGATAAACCAAATTATATGGGTTTCGAACTTCTGATTCTTGTAGATTTTGTAGTTTGCAACAGAGAGAGGGCAAGTTCAGAGTTGAGAACGAGAATAGAGATGGAGGCGATTGGGGAGTTGCAGAGAGAGAGAGAGGGGGCAAGTTCAGAGTTGAGAACGAGAATAGAGATAGAGGCGCACGATTGGGGAGTTGCAGAGAGAGGGGGGGGCAAGTTCAGAGTTGAGACCAAGAATAGATATAGAGGCGCACGATTGGGGAGTTGCAGAGAGAGAGGGGGGGCGCAAGTTCAGAGTTAAGACCGAGAATAGAGATGGAGGTGATTGGGGAGTTACAGGGAGACAGAGAGGGAGAGAGGGGGGCAAGTTCAGAGTTGAGACCGAGAATAGAGATGGAGACGAATGGGGAGGCTGAAGAAAAACCTAGGGCTCGGATGAAATTGGTAAAGTTAGAAATAAATGGTAAATTAAGAAAATGGTAAAGTGAAATAATATTACATCCCCAAATTTTCCTGCACTTAGTTTGTAAAACGCTGGTAATTAGTAGTACTCAACACCAGCACTTTTTAAGAAATGCTGGTTATTAATACTCAAGCGCTTTTTTAAAAGCACTAGTGAAACCCTAATTTGTTGCAAGGAGGACTTGATTAATCCTAACCGTACTTCAATTCTAACTGTGAGTGGGGCTGGATGAGTTTTTAGCAGGTCGAGAGTTTAACATTAACAACCTTGGGCCGATACTGACTTTACTCAGGCTTGATTAAAGTTAGGCTTCGATGGGCTAGTAGAGAACCATTGAGGTAATACGTTATTTTAATGGCGTGGCTGATTCTTATTGGAGGGAGATTTTTCCCTCCACACTTTGTCCTAAATTCCCTCCTAAATTGAACACAGCTCTTAATTAGAAGGGAATTGAATTTACACGGTTGCCAATTTTTACAAGAGGGGGTTTGAGACGTAACTATTGACATTATGACCAAAGAACGTCTTTAAAATTTCCTCCTGTCTTCACTGCGTTCACTGCTTTGTCTTGATATCAGGTTAGTTCTTCATTTATCTTATTGATTTCATATCATAAGCACTTCATCCACCCATGACCACATAGAGATTATGGATTCCGAAACCACACCTTCATCATCTCATATTCTTCTTAGAGTCCCTCCTCCTAGGGTTTATAATTCTCTTGAGACTACGAACGACTCTATTATGCAAATAGATGATCCTTCACCTCAAGCAGAGGTATCCACTTTTAGATTGGACAGTATTTTTTCAGAAAAAGGAAAAAGAAAAGATTTTGTCAGTCCCGCGTATCAAGTTTACTATTGATTTTGTACTGAAAGAGTTTGAGATTCCCGAGGGGGTAGAGATTGTTGAATACCCAAATAATGCGGATTTCAGTTCCGGTGAAGGGGTGGGTGAGAATGAATTGTTTTGATCTGTTGGCCATCTGAATGCCCTTCATTTTCCCCTTCATCATTTTTATCATTTAGTCTTCAATAAGTTAGATATTGCCCCCCTTCAAGTAAAGCCTAACTTTCTTAGAGTAGCTAGTATCGACTCTTCTTGTAAGTCAAAGGTTAGAGGGACTTGACCTAAATCTTGCTGACTTACTGATCACCTATACTATTCCTAGATATCAGACCGAACTTGGCCGTTATTATTTCACTTCTTCTCTTCAACAGAGGATGTACACAGATCTTCTTACTTCTGAGAAGAGATGGAAATAGAGAATGATTATTGTTAGGGAGGTGGTCTGTGTCTCAATCAAATAAACTTCCTATTGACGGTGGCCGTTTCTATACGCCAAAATAATGTAGTGAATGCACGGTTCAAGAAAAGCCTTTTGGGTCAAGTTTAAATTTATAAAAACCACTACTACCACTACTACTAACGTAGCAAGGGTGAGTAGGGATTGTCCCAAGGGATTGGAGGGCTACAAGAAATGGAAACAATGCTTAGGGTTAGTAGGTCGAGTGATCAAAGGTAGATTGTTTGGTTGATTAAACTACAATTAAGATTAAACAAGCTCAATATAAAACAAACAATTAAAGGATAGAGAAAACAAGAGAGAGAGAGGTCTTGGGACTTAGAGATCACCACTAAGCATCACCTTTCTATACACTCAATTCATAATTAATGAGGGGAAAAACATATGTTGCAACAATAGTGAGTGTGTGTGGTTGTTTCAATACGCATGGATGACCAATTAAGTATATATTGTCTAAACAACACAATGAATAGCACAATATATCAAACTAAGTCATTAATCCTTCTTTAAGCTCACAATCCAAACACATCACATAATTAGAGAAATATACTACTTGCATTCATAAGTATGGAACATCAAACAACAAGCATAGATTGTCCTCCCATTTAACAACTAAGGTAACTACACTACATCTAAGCTAATGACATGAAAATTAAACTAATTAAACTAAGGGAGAGGCATAATCTATCAAGAAATGAGTATGAACCATCAAATAAACCACAAGAGCATTCTATTAAGCACTATGCCTTGACAATCTCTAGATCTATAGTATCAACACACATAGACATGCATCAACAACACAAGAGATAGAGATAAACACATGAACATCTATTCTAGCATACATAGACATATGGATAGAATTAAATGATCAATTGAAAGAATTAAACCACATAAATTATTGAATAAACAAGATTTATGTATATAAAGATGTCAAAACATGTATTACAACACAAATCCCCTCAAAAATACATAAATTAAGGTAAAGAAAGCATGCTTAAGGCTAACTCTAGCCCCAAGAGGATGTCTAGCTACTCATAGATGGTGTCCTCTGTGACAACCTGAATTTTTAGAGTTTAATTTTAAATTTTATACTCTTGATTTTTAGTTGTCAACAAAATTGATTATTTTGTTTTAATTGGAGATTTACCAATTGGAGGTTGGATTATTGATTATTGATTATTGATTATTGAATTGGAGATTTACTCAATTAAAAGATTTAATGGGTTTAATTTTTGTTGTCATAATTAATTTGATTAATTATGATTTAAGGCTTATCAATTGCAAATTGATTATTTTGTTTTAATTGGAGACTTGGTGAGTTACCCAATTGAAATTTTTAATGGGTTGATTTATTTATGTTGAAATTGAATTTATATTGTATTTCTTGATTCGATGGAGATTGAATCAAAAGGGAGCAGTGCCGAAATGGTGAATGAGTGCTACCAGCCGAGTATAATGAATGTCTAAAGAAGTTGATTCGGTTTGATTGAATTTTATACATATATATATATATATATGTATATATATATGATATATGTATACATCTGAAGGTGGGCATGTGGCTGCGAAGTGGATTAAGAGAAAAAAGATTTCACTTGGTCTTGTTATATATATATATATATATAAGGCATCAGGTGGAGCGCATATGGGGCTGCCGAAAATTGGTGGAAAAAGAAAGATTGAGTTGGTTCATTATTGTGGGACCCTCGAGGAGATTAAATGGGGATTTGATTTGTTATATAATGTATTATATATATTTTTAGTGAGATGAAAAGGTAGAGAAAAGGCAGCCAGCGAAATTGAAGGAGAATGAAGAAAATGGTGATGACATTTTCGTGGGGCCAACTAGATTAGGTTAATGAATTGATTTCATTTGATGCATGCATGTATATTTTGTCTGTTGGATGGAAATGGGGTGCACAGCCGAGATTAGAGAAGAGTGAATTTTGGGAATAGCTTTTACGGGTCCCCATTGGAGACTTTTTGCCAATTTTCCATGACTCAACAGTGATGCGGATGAGATGGCCATCAATAGTAGTCCGCAGCTCCGATAGGTTACTCGGGGTCAGCCGGAGGTTCTAGAAGAACAACCGGACGAGCCTCGGGTAAACTGGATAAGTGACTGGAGCAAAAATGGCTGAAATACCGCGGCGGTCATTATCATCAAATGTCGCCCGGGTCAGAACCGACCGGGAAAATAAGGCAATGTCGAATACCGACTCATGCACCACCTGAAGGCGTGTATATCTCCTGTTAGGTCTGTCTCGGATCTGGCCTGGCAGTGCTGGTGGTGGTGAAGGAGGTGGTATATGCTCAGCCTTATCAGAAGAAAATGATACGGAAACAGAAGACTGTAGTCTGGTATCGGCTAATGAGGACTGAGCTGTAGCTGGCCCCGCAGCTGCCCTGAGCATGGGAAGGCTCTGCAGGCTCCTCTATTCGCCGTCTCACTCTGAGCTCATACTGCCTATGGGAGACAGTCTTTACTCGAGCCATGGCCTACAAAAAGAAAAGAAAACTTGCAGATGAAGTCAGTACAGGAATAAAGAATTGAAGTATAATATATAAAAATATGTATGTCAAGTAAGATAGGCAACTCAGAATAATTGACATGAATCTATGCAAGTTATAATGTAGCCAGGTATAGACAATGAATAAGTGAAACATGCTAAATATGATAGAATAAAATACACCCATTGTGGAAAACACATGCATTGGGCAAATATAAGATAGCGTGAAACACAAAAGATGGCATGTGAAGTGGATATACAAATCTGTAATGTTCGATCGATCATGAAAAGATGAGATCGATCCAAGTTGGATCGATCAAGAATTGAGTGAGATCGATCTTTCTTGGATCGATCAGAGAAAAATGTGATCGATTGAATTCTACAAAAATACGAAAAGTCACAGATCTATGACGTGGACAGCACGGGGGGCACCCAAGCAAGCTTATGGGTCCCTCTACACTTCAACGCATCAAGATTGGTCACTTATATAGGTACGTGACCCCCGAAAACAAAATCAGAATCAAATATATACAAATATATATATAAATATATATCACATGCTTTGAAGATCAAAAACAGCAACAATAGAACATGGCAACCCTAGATCTAAACATAGCAACATCAAAAACATATAGATTGAAGTTCAAAAATAAAAATACAACTCAAAACTTACCAAAAATCAATGAGAGAAGTGGAAACCGAGAAAGAATGAGAAGATCTAAAGCGAAGAAGAGTTTGGAAGCTTGTGGAAGGTCGCCAGAGATTCGCTGAATGTGGGAGAGATGATGGGCAACGGTGGAAGAAGCTAGGGTCTGAGATTGATCTTGAAATTGATCCAAATGACCTTTGGCTTCTATTTTTAAAAACTATTTCCAACGTGTTCGATCGATCACTAAGAAATCAGATTGATCGAACAACGATCGATCTGAAACTCAGTTCGATCTCACCTCGCAAAACGACAAGTATTTTTTGAAAAATTTTTTTTTTTTTTTTTTTTTGAAAATTAAAAATAGTTTTGGATTTTGGGAAATAAAAATAAAAAAAAAATAAAAATTCTTTTTTTTTGGATATTTGAAAATAAAATGGAATAAAA